TGGAATTACAGGCATGTACTACCACGCCTGGCTGATTTTTTGATTTATTGTAGAGATGAGCTCTCACCAAGTTGCCCAGGCTGGTCTCAAATCTGTGGGCTCAGGCAATCCTCTCACCTCAACCTCTCAAATTGCTGGAATCATAGGCTTGAGCCACTGTGCTCAGCTGCCAAAGGACCTTTTAATGTGAAACGGCATTCTTTATAAAAATAAAAAGAACGCTGGACTCAGTGTCTCAGGCTGTAATCCCAGCACTTTGGGGTTCTGAGGCCAGTGGATTGCCTGAGCCCATGGATTAGAGACCAGCCTGGGCAACTTGGCAAGACCTCATCTCTACAATAAATCAAAAAATTAACTGGGCATGGTGGCATGTGCCTGTGGTTCCAGCTACCTGGAAGGCTGAGGTAGAAGGACCCCCTGAGTCCAGCAGGTTAATACTGGGATGGACATGAGTGTGCCCCTGCACTCCAGCCTGGGCGACAGAGTGAGACTCCAACTAAAAAAAAAGAAAAAGAAAAAGAACTGTGGCCTGCTGTGAGGTCACTTGAAGGAAATGGAAATTTCTTAGGGTTTTGTCTCATTAGAGGGCAACCATGAATGCCTTTGTTTTTCTGAGATTGTCTAGTTTTGCTAAAGATATATGGCTTTTTTGAGGGAGTGGGTGGAGCAGTAAAGTGCAGGGAGCTAGTGGTTGTTGACCTTTTGGTGTTAAATTATGTTTTTTTTTCTCCCCTCCCCTTCTTGTTCTTTTTCTTTCATTTCTTGTTCCTCTCTGTTCATCTTTTTTTTCATCTTTCCTTCCTCTTTCTTACTCTCCCTCCCCATTCTTCCTCTTCTCCTTATTTTTTTTCCATCTCTCCTCCCCCCTTTTCCTTTGACCTGTTCCTTCTCCCTGAACCCTCCCACCTTTGACCCCACAGGACACTCTGAGCACTTACAGGACGCCTTTGAGGGTTCCTCCTGGGCCATGAGAAACCTCTCTCTTGCCCTCTACTCTGCCCTCTTCTCTTACTCAGGTTGGGACACCCTTAATTTTGTAACAGAAGAAATCGAAAACCCAGAAAGGTAAAGGCGGATCACACTCTCACTCCCCAGCTCGGCGAAATGCCTACTGTTAGTGGGCATGCTTATCTTCTTCTTTCTCCTCCTCCCTCTGTCTCTCATCCCCTCTTCTCCCTATTCCCCCTTCTCCAGCCAGGAGGGGCTGAGGGCTAGGAGGGAAGTGAGTGAAAGTGGGAAAGTCTTTGACTCCTAATCTTTTTGTTCACACTGGAGGATCTCCAGGGTTCTTTCTAGAGGAGAGGTCTTTCAGTGGGCAGCAGCAGCCCCAGTTGGGGCTTAAGGTGTTAGGACCTCACACTCTGATGCTAAGACTGCAGCCTGGAGAGCCAGAACTTATTCTGACCAGCTGGGTCTCCAACCTGGCCTCTAGTGCCCAGAGGATACCATTCCTTGCATTTTTCCTGAGATCATAGATGCAGGGGGATTATAAAACCCCATGGGGCCCATTGGCCCTACTGTGGCAAGCTGTCTTCACAGAGAAGTTTCTCATTCTTTCTTTGTCAGTAGAAAGAGCCCAGGGTCATGGGGATGCATGCTCACCCTAAGCTACAAGGGGAAAATGAACCTGCCTCAAAGACCTGGAGGCCCGTGAACTGTTAAAAGTTAGGACAGTTCCAGTGGAGACTTGATGAACTTTGATCCTAAGGAGAGGTTGGTTCTAGGTCGTTCTTTCTCATTTGTCCTGACAGAAATTTGCCCTTAGCCATTGGAATTTCTATGCCGATTGTGACGCTCATCTATATCCTGACCAACGTGGCCTATTACACAGTGCTGAGCATTTCAGATGTCCTTAGTAGTGATGCTGTGGCTGTGGTGAGTCTCTTTTTTTTTTTTTTTTTTTGAGTTGGAGTCTCACTCTGTCACCCAGACTGGAGTGCAGTGGCCGGTTACGGCCACCGCAGCCTCAACCTGCTGGGCTCCGGCGATCCTTCTGCCTCAGCCTTCCAAGCAGCCGGAACTACAGGCATGCGCTACCACACCCGGCTAATTTTTGATTTATTGTAGAGATGAGGTCTCGCCAAGTTGCCCAGGCGGGTCTCACACCCGTGGGCTCAGGCAGTCCACTCACCTTAGCCTCCCAAAGGCACGAGATTACAGGCTGAGCCACCGAGCCCGGCTTGTGGTGAGTCTCTTAGGAGCCCCATTTACTCGTCAGCCTCCCCTGAATGGCCCAGTCTCTCTTTCTGCAGCCCCCTCATCTTTGCAGGGTGAGGTTATGGGTCTAGGCCAGGAGGTGGCTGCTCAGTAGTGACTGCGGAAGGATTATGAAACCTTGTCCTGTATTGAGTGCCCCTTCTGTGCTCTGTCCCCAGACATTTGCTGACCAGACGTTTGGCATGTTCAGCTGGACCATCCCCATTGCTGTTGCCCTGTCCTGCTTTGGGGGTCTCAATGCATCTATATTTGCTTCATCAAGGTATTGTGTCTCTGCATCACTGATAATAGACGGCAGTTTTTAATTCTCTAGGGCTCTAGGTCTAAGAACTTCTTTTTTTGGGGGGGGGGGTGGAGTCTCACTCTGTTGCCCAGGATGGAGTGCAGTGGCACGCTGCTCACAGCCACTGCAGCCTCGAACTGGTCGGCTCAGGCAATCCTTCCACCTCAGCCTTCCAAGTAGCTGGAGCTACAGGCATGCACCACCACACTCGGCTAATTTTTTGATTTATTGTAGAGACAAGGTCTCACCAAGTTGCCCAGGCTGGTCTTGAACCCCTGGACTCAGGCAATACTCTGGCCTCTTCCTCTCAAAGTGCTGGCATTACAGGCGTAAGTCACTGCACCTGGCCCTAAGAGCTTCCTCTCATGGGGATATAGAGTATGTGTGTATATGTGCATGTGTGCGTGCTCATGTGCTAAAGTAGGGACTGAGCGCTTAATTCACAGACACCAACACCAAACGTACAAGTTATAAAAGGAGAGGTTTATTAGCCAAGAGCCGGCCGGTGGCCACTTGTTGCTGGACATGCAAGTCCCACAGCAAGGGCCCCCATTTGCTACAGGGGCTTGCTTAAATGGGGCAAAACCACATTGGGACTTTCCAAGTGGGCCAAACTGCAACATCCTGGAGGCCTAGGCACTTTTCAAGCAATGCTAGCGGGGTTCACAGAAGTGAAAAAAAAGCTGTTAAATAGTTTAACCTAGCCAGTAAGTGCTGTTGCCAGTTTCCAGGAAGGGAACTTTTTAACTGTGCAAAGGCTGAGTACATGCTTAATTGTGCAAAGACTGAGTTTATGCTTAGCCTAATTTTTGACATTGTAGATGTCTTTTTATTTTATTTATTTTTTATTTATTTATTTATTTTTTGAGTTGGAGTCTCACTCTGTCACCCAGATTGGAGTACAGTGGCCGCTCCCGGCCACCACAGCCTCGACCTGCTGGGCTCCAGCAATCCTTCCGCCTCAGCCTTCCAAGTAGCTGGAATTACAGGCATGTGCTACCACACCCGGCTGATTTTTGATTTATTGTAGAGATGAGGTCTCGCTGCCCGGGTGGGTCTCGATCCCGCGGGCTCAGGCAATCCACTCACCTCAGCCACCCAAAGACGCGGGATTACAGGCTGAGCCACCGAGCCCAGCTAGATGTCTTTTTAAACCCCCTTTCACATTCCCCCCTTTCAGTTGATCCTGGAGTCAAATCTTTGACTCTTTATACAGGGGATTATATTGGGTTCTGAGGACCATTAATTTTACTGATAACACATTATTTTTAACATAACCAAGGAGGCTTATGTATGGGTCTTGGTTTTTTCAAGGAGCAATAGTTTCGCACCCTCATGCAGCCCAGTGGTATTGTCTTGGTTTGTGGCAATGAGCTGGTCCTGATGCCGGGCAAGCATAAAAACCAACAGATTTAAATCCTTTTTCATAAGCTAAGGCGCTGTATTTGTCAGTGTGTGTGCCCCTGGGGGTTAGACCTGGCCATAATTTACAAAGGTTAAAATTAAAGACAGGCTGCCTGCTTCCTCTGTAGGTTGTAATTATGGTCCCAGTGATTGTATTTCTCAGTTCCCAGGAATAGTTCCCTTGAATATAGGGATTACGTGGGTTAGGCCAATAGGCCTCAAACTGGGGAAAGTATGCAAGGAATATTATTAAGATACCAGGGCCCACAAAAGTTTTATTTTTAGAGGATATTCTCCAGTAGCTGGTTTGATGACTTTCCATGTTTCCGGGGGCGCGGTGGTGGCTGCCTTTACTTGTGAATGATGAATCCAGGGGCAGACACTGCTGACTTTGACGGCCATAGTAGTAGTAAGGATTACTATGTGGGGCCCTTTCCACCTTGGGGACAGCTTTGTGCCGTCTTATCCAGACCTGGTCACCGGGCTGAAATGGGTGTGGATGTTCTGAAACCGGTTTCCGGAAGCCTGCCTGAACGGTCTCAGTAACAGCTTGCTGAACTCTTTGAAGAGCCTGCAGTGACTGAAGCAAATTATGGTTAGATAGTTCTAGTGCTTTTTCTAGTCCAATTTTTGGAAGTAATGGCGGGGGCTGTTCAAGCAGAATTTTGAAGGGGGTTAGACTCTTGATGTAGGGGGTACACCTGGCCCTTAAGAGGGCCTAGGGAAGGAGTGTTACCCAACCTTCACCGGTGTCCAGGGTTAATTTGGTCAAGGTCTCTTTAAGCGTCTGATTCATTCTTTCTGCCTGTCCTGAACTCTGGGGATGATAAGCACAGTGTAAGTTCCAATTTATCCCCAAGGTTTTTGCAATACCTTCAGTAAGTTTAGAAATAAATACTGGGCCTTATCTGAGCCTATTGAGATAGGTAGACTATATCTTGGTATACTGTTATTTAAGAGTTTCTTTACTATTACAGAAGCAGTTTCAGTTTTTGTAGGAAATGCCTCGACCCATCCCGAGAAGATGTCCAAAAACCAATAGGTATTTATGTCCATATTGTCCAGGTTTGACTTCTGTAAAGTCTATTTCCCAATGTCTCCCAGGGGTTAGTCCCCTATCTTGGATCCCTTGAGTGGATACACTGACCTTAGCATCATTAGTCTGCTGGCATGACACATAGCCTTGAATGAGCTCCTGGGTGAGTTGGTTCAGATGAGGGAGATAGAATTCTTTCCTTACAAGTTTGGTTAGTTTTGTCTTTCCCAAATGAGTACCTTCATGGAACTGCCTTAGGATTTGTTGTCCCAGGACTCAAGGGAGGAAGGTTCTGCCCTCCTGAAGTTGAAGCCATCCGTCTGGGTTGAGGTTGTCTGCAATTTTTGTGCAGTGAGGAGTTCCTTTTCTGTATATTTTGGCTCACATAGAACCGGAGGAGGTAGTGCCAGCAGGCAGGTGGTTCTGCGGTAAGCAGCTTCTCTGGCTGCTTGATCTGCTTTTCTATTTCCTATCGCTTCTTTTGAGTTTCCTTTTTGGTGGCCCGGGCAATGGATGATGGCACCTTGTTTGAGGGCCCATATTGCTGTCAAGAGGTCTAAGACCTCTGCTTTATTTTTTATGGTTTTCCCCTCTGCGGTGAGCAATCCCTGCTCCCTGTAAATTGTCCCATGAACGTGTGCAGCTGCAAACGCATACCTGCTGTCAGTGTAGATGTTGACAATTTTTCCTTTACCTGCTTTTAGGGCCTCGGTTAGGGCAATCAGTTCTGCTTTTTGGGCCAATGTTTCCTGCAGAAGAGGCTCAGCCCAAATAGTTCCCTGTAGAGTGACCACCGCTGCCCCTGCATACCTTACCCCATTCTGGATGAAACTACTGCCATCCGAGAAAAGCGTTAGGTCGGGGTTTGTTCTCAGGACAGTGGTTAGTTCCCAGCGCAGCTTCTGGAACTTAGTTGTTTCATAATAACAATGCAGCGGCCCCATGGGACTTTCTTCCAGTAGTAAAGTTGAGAGGTTTAAGCTGGGGGTATGCTGGAACTTGATGTGGGGTTGATTTAAAAGCAGCATTTGATAATGGGTTATTCGGGCATTTGACATCTATTTGTCAGGGGCCCCTCGGAGTAAAGACTCCACTGTGTGTGTGGCCGTGATAGTCAGATTTTGCCCCACTCTTAGTTTGTCTGAGTCCTTTACTAACATGTCAATGACTGCTAAAACCCGCAAGCAGGGCAACCAGCTCAAGGCTACCGGGTCCAGTTTTTTTGACAGGTAGGCGACCAGCCTGTTCCATGGGCTGAGCTTTTGGGTTAGGACCCCCCAGGCGATGCCTCGTCTTTTATCCACATAAAGGTGGAAAGGTTTTTTAATATCCGGCCAGGGCTGAAGCTAAGACCAGGACGTTTTTAAGGGCTTGGAAAGTTTTGTCCCCCTATGGTGTTCATTTAAAATTAACCTCTGGTCCCTTCGTTATTTCATAGAGGGGTTTTGCGAGTTTAGCAAACTTAGGGATCCATAGTCGACAGTATTTTACAGTTCCCAAGAATTCCCGGACCTGCCTTTTGCTTCCTGGGGCCAGGATGCCTTCTATAGTCTGAATGTGCTGGGCAGTCAGGGATTTTTTTGCTAGTGGAGTTTTTCACCCAGTGCCAGTTCCTCTTTTCCCTGTTGGCTGCTTGGGTTTAACTTCCTGTAAAGCTGCTGCTACTACTTTGGCCATCTTTTTGGTTTGTTGGTCTTCAAGCGAGTCCCTGCTATTATAGACCTTCTGGGCTACCTCGGTTAATTCTGATAAACTTTTCCCTTCATATCCTTCAATTTTCTGCAATTTCTTTCTTATAACAGGGGCCAACTGGGAGACAAAGGCTATAACTAAAGCCCTCCGATTTTCTGGAGTCTCTGGGTCTATGGGAGTATATATCTGATAGGCCTCCATAAGGCATTCCAGAAAAGCCATGGGAGATTCCTGTGGGCCCTGAGTTACCTCACTTACTTTAGACAAATTTGTGGGCCGCCTAGCGGCAGCCCAGACACCCCTCATTAGAGTCCAGCAATAGGTGGTGAGACACTCCCTACCATGATTGGAGTTTGGGTTTCAATTAGGCCTCTCATTGGGGAAGACATGGTCCACATGGTCCTGCTCTGCCAGTCTGCCATCTGGTCCCAGGACCAATGTCCTTGCCTCCTGATGGATTTGTTTTCTTTTTTCTACAGTAAAAAGGGCTTGGAGGAGCTGTTGGCAGTCATCCCAAGTGGGCTGGTGGGTGAACAAAATAGTTTCTAAAAGGCCTATGAGACTCTGAGGTCTTTCAGAGAATGCCGGATTTTGGTGCTTCTAATTGTAAAGATCATTAGTAGAGAAAGGGACATAAACCATAAAGGGCTGGCCTTCCGAACCTCCCACGTCTAGTCCCAGGGCCTGTTTCAGGGGGAGGACTGTGGAAGTTTGTGGTTCTGAGTTCCTGGAAGATGAGTCAGGGCTAGTCGGTTTATCGGGGGCGGTTGGGCCCTCAGGAGATGCATGGGGAAGAGGGGGATAAAGGGGCTGATATGAGGACCCACTCCTGGTGAGTGACGGGCTG